GTCTTTGACAATGAAAACAATTATCTTTAATAGTTATTACTTTACATATATAACTACATTACATTATATTTTTCAACATTAAAATAACATTTTTTAACATTAAAATAAAAATATTTTGAACACAGTCTTTGACAATGAAAACAATTATCTTTATAACATTATTATTACTTTACATATAAGCCGTTGGCAATTAGATTTCTCCATTTTGACAGAAATAGGAAACTGAAACAGGTTTATTAAACAGTTCTTAGGTTTATTAATAACTTTATTAAAAAGTAAAAGAAACATCTGGCTTTTTTAAGTAAAATATAAGCAGAAATGTAGCTTCTCCATCTCTTTACCTCTCCTTGTTAAGGTGGTTTTGCCCTGGACCTGGGAATCACCCCTCTCTTTTGCTGAAGTGGTTTAGCCCTGGACCTGACAGCCAATGAGAAGAGACGTGACCTAAACCATCAGGGAAGTGAAGTTACCCAAAATGAAATAAACACATGCTTTTTACGCCTTAACCAAAAGGCATATAAACTACGTGCAAAAAACACAAAGTTTACATGTTGTTGACACGTTGAAAACACGTTGTTGCGCATCAAAAATGTGTTAAAGTTTGACGCGTTGTTAACGCGTTATTTACGCGTTGTTTACTCGTCAAATGTACGCGTAATGATAACTTGATTGTCAGCGAGGGCTTACCATATAACTTTTGCTCTCAGCTGACGAGCTGGCTCTCAGCTGTTAGAGGATGGTTGCGCTCTGTGAGCTACCGGGATCCAGCCCACGAGCTACTGGTCGATCGCGATCGACTGGTCGAGCACCCCTGTGCTAAGGCGACCTCAGGTGGCCGAAATTAAGTTCTGTGTAACAGAGTTTTTTTTCCCTTTAAAGGCCCATCAGTTGTCTGAGGTCCAATACAGTTCCCTTGATTATTTCACTCGGGGTGACCCCTACAATGAAAAACAAGAAAACTGTACATAGTGTGTGTCATATGTATTGCAACATACAAACATACACATTCAGCCATAGTAGAGGGATCGTTTCTAAAAGAATTGATGCCCTGGGAAAATAAATTACCCTTTAAAGTCCTACCTTTTTCTCAGGCCAAGAGTCAGTGACCTTTTTTGCTTACTTTAAAATGTAAGCATGTTTTATGATTTTACTCTTTATCTTCTGTTTTCTCTCGAACAAAGTGTTTTAAGATCAGGACAATATCTGTTTAGAAGTAATCATTCTTGTTGCTGTTTGTCAAACATCATTCTCTCCTTGGCCCAGTTCCGGCACCAAGATTGTCTGTTTGGATAGCATACTGTATAAATGTGTGTATTTGAAACTGCGTCAAGGCACACATTTTGTGCCATTGCCCTGTGTGACATAATCTGTGTCTTGCAATTGCAATAAATCCTGTTGACCATTTCACAGAGCACTTTTTATTCTTGGAGATATATAT